TGTGTGTGTGTGTGTGTGTGTGTGTGTGTGTGTGTGTGTGTGTGTGTGTGTGTGGAATGAGTTCAGACATGCTTCTCGGGTTCTGGAAACCCGTTCCTGTGCGTCCATGGACATTTCTGGATTTAAATTCCATTAAAAACAAAAAAACAATCTGCACACGGACAGTTACAGGATCAGTTCGCTCAAAGAAATAAAACCTGGTTTCAAACGTGGCATTTAAACTGCTGAAATCAGTCAGAACCTTCACGAGACCAACCCTGSAGCAGTGTGAGCACTGAAGTTCATCCCAAACAGTCTGCAGCCGGAGCAGCGCGCGCGGCTCTCCGTCAAGCCAAAGAAAACAAGCATCTCAAGTGGGCGACTGAAATTTACACGCAGCTCTCCGTGCAGACGTGCGCGCGCGGCTGTATTTTACACCACATCAGCTTCTTGGAGCAACTGTTTAATGTGCACCAAATCAGAGAGAGAGAGAGAAAAAAAACCTGTCCACTTTGTTACTTTTTTTGTTTCTGGTGAAGATGAGTGGATTTGTTTCAAATGCGCAGAGCTGTGTTCCATTTTCACTGCAGAGGAGAAAACATGCAGATGATTCAGGATTCATTCAGCAGCTGGATCCGGAGCCAATCCGTTCCTGGATTCTGAAGGAGACTTGGAGGATGACCGTTACGCGTTAAGAGATCTCTGTGAGGTTCGTGGCTGAGGCCTCAAAAATTCACTCTCACCAACCAAACTCCCCCAACTTATAAACATGACAGTTAGTATGAAGTTCACACAAAAAGTGTTGTTTTAGGAAGTGTGTTGCGTCATTTCTTTGAAATTAAAGAACGCTCTTCATTGAAACGTGAAACAGGTGGATAATTTTTGCGTAATTGGAGCCTGAACGTGGATAAATCAAAGAGCAGCTCCGTGTCTGCGCCTTTCTGCAAACAGGAAGCTGGTTTCTTGCCTCCATGTTTCCCTGCACCCGGCTGGCTCCCCGCGTCTTCTCTGTTTTCACCTTTCTGAGAATCACGCGGAGCGCGCAGAGTGACCCATTTCACRAGGCGCGGGCCTGCCGGGCGAGCTTTTGGTAATCAGAGCTCAATTTCGGCTCACAGTGCATTCATGGGTCCGTGAGTGTGCGCGCACCTGTGCGTGCGTGCACGGAAAGCCAGGGGTCACACCGAGCTGCAGAGACAAACACCTAACCTGCTGCTTCCCCCTGACATCCCCTCTGACATGACCTCCAAACTGGAGCAGGGAGCTGAGCTGAGGAGCTGCTCTTCATCCTCTCCTCCTCCTCCTCCTCCTCCTCCTCGGTCGTGCACCTTGTCGTAGCAGCCGTTGGGCAGCAGCGGCGTTTGGCACTGCTTCTTCTTGTGCTCGATGAAGAGGAGGATGTCGCCCAGCGGGAAGGTCAGCTGGCACTGGCCACAGGTCAGCAGGTCGTGGTCGGTGTGGAGGCCAGGAGGCAGCGTGTGGGCCAAGCTGGGGTCCAGTGGGTGGGGGAGCAGGCCCAGCAGGTGGGGGGACGGCGTATCGGAGAGCAGAGCGCCATCTGGGTGCTCGACTTCTGCTGAAGGGAAACCAAGAGAAGCAGAAGAGACGGGGTGGYTCAGATGTTGGTTTCAGAAGTTTCTGATTCAGCTGGATAAGAGTTTGTCAAAACGTTGGATCAGAGTTCACCAACAGAACCAGTCAGACAAATACACASGTTTATCTAACACAGGGGTCTGCAACCTTTACGATCAAAAGAGCCATTTCTGCTACTCGACACACTAATAAAATATGTCTGGAGCCGCAAAACAAGCTACAACTGTGGTTATCAACTGGTGGTCCGTGGGCTTTTCGGGGCCTTTTCAGGAATCTTTATGGCCAGTGGAGGTGACATTATAAAACTAAAAAATATATTGTGAATTTTATTATTTATCATTATTTTTACCCATCAGGACAAANATCTTTAATTAAACATATTGTGTGGAATTATTTTATTTAGTAACATATTTCCATTATTAATTTGGTTTATAAACATAATGATTTTTTTAAAGTTATTCCTAAATTTATGTCTCAAAAATCTGCTTTTTAACCTGAAATAAACTTTACTAAAGTGCGTAAAATGGATTTAGTAAAGTGCGTAAAATGGATTAAAATGATTTAAATTAGATGGACAAAACGCCGTTTGAAAGTAAAATAAAAGACCTGTTTGTGTGTTCTCCTGGGCTCAGGTCATAAATGAGCTCAGACCAGAACCGGGCCGGTGGACGGACCGAGTCTGGGACGGAGCAGCTCCTCCAGCTGCAGACATTTCTTCACCGGGTCAATAATCCGCTCCAGTGACTCCAGCGGATTATTTACTGGTMAGATCGGAACTTTCAGATGTTTGACTCGTTTTCATCAAGAAATCAGGAGAAGAGTGGACAAAAAGTGGACAAACTTTCTGATCCGAGTCTAACAAACACTGTTCACTTTGTGCAAACATTTAAATAAAATCAGCTCAGGTTGTGAGAAGAGGAGGTGTGCGCTCGTGCGGGTTTACTCACGCGTTATTTCTCTCTGGGACAGGTGCTGCGGGTTCCCCTGCTTGCGTCGGGACATCGCCCTGGCATTTACACTGGCATTGCCCGGAGAGCTGCGCGGGAAAGGTCGGCTCTCCTCCTGCTGCTGCTCCGTTCCTCCTGCTGCTCTTCTCCAACTGGCCCAGCTGCTTCTRAAATTTGCCGGTCACCCCAAGCTGACCACTGGGCGCCGCCTCCCCCCACAAAACGCGGCCCTGGAACTGACCCCTCCGCTGCTTTCTGCGGGAAGCGGCCGACGCGCAGCGCTGGGCGCCGGGGCGCTCGCACGGAGCTCGGTGCCAAAGTGGTTGCGCGCCTCCCTTCGTGGAGGTGAGGGAGGGGGAGAGTCCGGCTCTTCTTCCCGCTGCTTCACACCATCCCTCAGAGGAGCGCGAAGAAAAGGAGGAGAGGAGAGGGGGGGAGGGATGGACGGACGCGCGTCTTCTTGATGGTCAGTCTGTGTTGAGTCTGTGTCCACTGTCCGGACACCTGGACCCTGTCCGGTCCTGCAGAAGCCAGGTGACTGCGCGTCAGGGAGCGCGTGGAAAAATCCAGTCCTTCTCCTCGGCGCTTCGCGCGATGTCGCCAAGTGGTCGGCGCCGGCCTTTCAGACTTTAACTCTTGCAGTCAGAGCCAGTCAGAGCCCAGCACTGGTCTGAGGACGGTCTGTCACCCTCTCCTCTCTTTGTGCTGCCAGCGAGTCTCGCATCCTTCGACGCGCACGCGCCTCCGAGCGGCTCTCTGAGCGGAGAAAACTCAAGTTCAAGTGCGGACGTGACGTTCAGTGCGCGGTGAGAAGGGAGAGTGGAGACTGAAGAGCACTGGGGGCGACTAGTGGTAGCTTTCACACACACACAAACACTCTCACACACACACACAAACACACACACGCACACACACACACACGTTCACTCGGGTGTGTGGCGCGCGCGGCAGCACTGGTCAGAGTCATCTCCGCCGCTGAAAATCTGACTGAGCGGAGTTTCTTTCTGTTCAAGTGACCCGAGGCGCGTCCACACCTGCTCCACGCGCTGCCGGACACTGTGCGCGTGCTCGTCTTCACGTTCACTTTCAAGTTTATAGGCGAGTTAAAGGTTTCTGGTTTGCAGGAGAGGAAGCGGAATTAATAAACTCATCTGTTAAAAACAACAAACTTAATTTTTATTTATCATTAATGCTATAATTGTCACCGTTGTTGCGCGTGCGCAATAACGCAACAAAGATGCGTCTTTTTTTAAAAGGAAATTATTTATGATGGATCATTTAAATTAAATTTACTTAATAGTTCTTGTCAGTTTCGGACCTGCTGCGCGCGCATTCCAACTGACCACACGCGCTCACATCCAGATCATTCATTGATTAAACCCGCGTGCGTGTTTTTAATTTGTAACTGATTTTGTTCTGTTTATTTCCACTAACGAGTTTGGACAGAGGAACAAGCCTGGTTCAGTCTGAGGTGATTTGAAGGTGTCAGGTTTGTGACCCACTGGTGTCAGATCAGCTGAGGGGCAAACCCAGCCTCAGAGGAGTGAGTTTTAGCAGAGAGAAGATCAGATCTTCTGTTATTCTTCGCGGGATTAAATTATATTTATTAATATTATCATTTCAGACTTGAAAAACCTGCGCGTTTTTCATGGCTCCAGTGACAGAAAGCAGCATCTCTGCCTTCCTCCCCGGCAGCTGCAGCTCTCCTCACACTCCTCCCTGCGGGGGACAAACCAGGAGACTCCGACTTCAGCAAATAAAATAAAAATAAAAGGCATTGGGACCCCCCACTACGTAATGATATGACCCCACCTAAAGAACCTTTTTTGTTTATTTATTTGTTTGTTTGCGCAAATTTTAAAGCAGTGATTTCTCAGAATGACCAGAAATCTGCTGTTGTCACTTTCAGTTTGCTGAGTGCAGAACGTGCGCGCGCGTGTAWGTGTGTGTTGGGGTCGGCTCTATAGGCCTGAAGGTCTTCTCATTTTTCCTTTCCTCGTGCACTCAACAGCTTCTCCTTGGTTTCCTCTGTTCTTCTCTTAATCATGATTTAAAAAAATAATAATACCATCCTTATTTAACGCGGGCCGCCTCTGCCCTCCTCCTGCTGTGTGCACATTCATTCATGTTTATTGAAACAGAAAGGATGTCAGGTTTGTCCAACACAACCTGCAGTCATTTCATCAGAAACTAAATCTGTGCAGCTTTTTGTCACAACAGCAGGCGACTGAGAGCTTTCTGCCTTGGAGAGACTCTTATTTAAAAAAATAAACAAATAACGTGAGTTAAAAAAACAAAGTTAAAAACAAAATTCTGTTTTATCCTTTGAATGTTCTTAAATTARAAATATAAAATAAAATGCGTGTTTGTCACAAGGACATCTGTGGGAAAGCTTGAGATGGAGACGTCTGACTGTTTTGACATTTTGTTTGCATTTACTCAGATTTTTACATTACATTGATAAAAGTGTTTTGTTTACATTAGGTGCATACCCGCATTTAAGATTTGCATATGTGGAAAACTGGAGTTAACCCTTTCAGGCTGCACTATAAGCTTTTAATGTTTGATTGCATAATTCAGAATGCTCAGCTGGTTTGAGGAACTCAGTCTGTTTTCTGTAAATGCTCCCAGATATTAATCCTTTATTTTTACTTTTACTCAGATGATTCTTTTTTTTTCATCAGATGAAGCTGTAAAATCTTCCCTCTCTCAGAATCAGGGAAGCTTTTGGAGTGAAGTGACACTCCGGGCCACCATCAGTATCCGGATGTGCTCCTTGTCCTTGCAGCCTGATTGGCTCATTAGTCAGAAAGGCGACAGGTGCATCATCCCACTTTCTTACAGGACGTTTTTTAGAGACGATTTCTCACTTAAAGGCCATCAGCGTGAGTTATAGCATCCTGCTTCCATCCTCTCTTCATTTGCATATATATATGCGCCTGTTTGTTTTATGTTAATGTTAAATAATCCTTTTCTTTTTTCTCTCTCTCTCTCTCCCTCCTTCCCCTCCATCGTATCTGCTGGGTGGTTAAATTTTAATTAGGGGGACGTGGAGGTGTCCTTTGGAGTTTTAAGATCACTTTGCCCACAACTGTTCACCACTAAACTGTTAATATTGATGTTTATGTGTCGGGATGCAGGCTGGCAGATTAAACTGAATGCAGGGAGGAACAAATGTGCACTTTAGGAGGATGTGAGCTGTGAGAGGAATGCTTGATGGTTTCTTCACTCCTTAGACACTTTTTCAGCCAATCAGAAGCTTTTTTTAATATTAAAGTGGGATGTTTCTGAAAAAAATACCTACACGAACATGAGATTTTATGAGCATGCATTCTTTATTCACGAGGAGTTTTTCATTGTGGGGTTAAAAGCCTTTTTTTAGCTACATTTATATTTTTTGAACAAATTATGATAAATACAAATCAATGTTTTAGCTTTAACCACAGTTGACTGAAGGTGGACCAGAGGTAAAGAAGACTCTGTACCTTAAATTTCCAAGTCTTCTAAAAGCTGCTGGCCTCTTTTTAACAGAAGCCATCAAGTCTTAATGTCAGCTCCATCCATTAAAGAAGCCATTTGTTTGATTCTGATGCTGTAATGAAAGGCAGAGCAGGAAGACAGGTGGTGGAGTGATGAGCTCTGAATGATGACCCTCTGAGCTCAGACCAGCAATGCAACACCACCCTCTGTTGGTTATCTGCTGCCACGTTCAAATACAGAGCCCCCTCAGCCTGAAGGGGCTCCAGTTCTCTGCTCCTGCTGTCCGGGAATGTTTCAGGGTTGATTGTCCTGTAACATCTGAGGCTTTGATACAAATAAGAAAACTAAAAAAAAAAATAATAAAGTCTGGTTTTAAAATAATAACAGGAAACAAAAATGAAAACTTTGAATTGTGGGAATTCTGCCCCACTCTTTTTTTGCAGCGTTGCTTCATTTCATGAAGGTTTGCATCCATTTTACTCCAGAATCCTTTGGTCTGCAGAGGAGTTTGACTCAGTGAGGAGCCCAAACTGATGTTCTGTTTGCTTTTCTTCATTGTACATCCACACTTTGGTCTTATCTCTCTGAGAGACATGCTGCCACATTTTAATTAAAGAAAAAGGGGCTTTCAGCTGCAACCTTTCTAAACAATTTGTTCAGCATTTCCCTAATTCTTCTATCATGACCTTTAACCTTTAACCTGCCAACTGAGCCTTGTGGAGGGAGTGCTGAAATGTACAGTCTGACCTTTGGGATGAATTTTTTGTGGTGATTCACAGCCGTCTTCAGTGTTTCTTACTTGTGAATAATGTTGTAAGAAATGTGAACATTTAACTAGAGGCGAGACACGAACCAGGAGACAAATTCAGATTTGGACTTGAACATTTAATTGCAAAGAAAAAAAGTACAAACACTTTCAGCTGGACCAAAATACAAACCTTTATTCAGTCTTGTGATACTTTGAGTGGCATGTTGGCTCAGTTCGTAGAGCAGATGCCTCTCAGTGAGACGGTCGCTGGATCAAATCCCCGACCTTTCTGGGTAGAGTTTGCATGTTCTCTGTGTGTGTGTGTGGGTTTTCTCCGGGTATACTCCGGCTTCTTCCCACAGACCAAGAACATGACTGTTAGGTTATCAACATTGATTGGGAGGGTCTTCTCTAGTGACCAAACAGTCTATTATTCTAATGAGAAATAAATAATTATATGTTGGTCTGCTGTGATAGGCACGTGTTAACTAATCTTGTCTTGACACGAGTCCTTCACAAGTGCAGATCAATTAATCACAGTTTAATCATGACACATAAAGGTAAGTAATTACACAATTAGATACAGAAATACCCTAGATCTCTTAACAAAAACTAGAATGCATATTTAAAAAATCAGTGTTTAACAAAATTAATTTTGCTTCAGTGCGATCGACTCCAGACAGTTTGAAAATAACATTTAACCCAAACTGATCAGCCATAATGCTTGCTTCTCTAATGTTATTGCTTATTGGGTTTCCTCAGTTTTGTCAAAAAACTCATTTTGTAACATGATAAAAATAAATAATTTGTCGAAGAACAGATATTTGCTACGACTTGAAAAAGGAAACTATAAAGMTGATTGATGTGACTGAAGATTCTTTGATTTGGAAACGTATGTAAAGCAGCATCATGCTTTAAATATGTTTCTACAGCCCCTAAAAACAAAATCACACAACAAAATGTGAAATTATTCAGTTGTAAAATAAAATTGTATTTAGAGGAAGTTTTCAGACCCTTCATAACAAAGAAATGAGTGCACACTCACACTTTGATCCTTTTTATTAAGTTTTGTTTAGTTTTTAGCTTTAAATCCACATTTAGTTAACATACAGCAGGTAAAATAAGTATTGAACACGTCACCATTTTTCTCAGTAAATATATTACTAGAGGTGCTAATGACATGAAATTTTCACCAGATGTTGGTAACAACCCAAGTGATCCATACATTCAAAGAAACCATAAATGTCCAGAAATGAAGTTATTTGTAATAATGTGGAATGGCACAGGGAAAAAGTATTGAACACATGAAGAAAGGGAGGTGTAAAAAGGCATGGAAAGACAAGACACCAGCTGAACTCTCTCAGTAATTAGAAAGCAAGCCTGCCCCTTGTCAGTGCAAGTTAATATCAGCTGGTTCAGTCCCAAATGATGGCCAGGTATCACACAAGAACCATCTGATGATGGGTAAAAGTAAAGAGCTCTCTCAAGACCTTCACAACCTTATTGTTGCAAAGCATAATGATGGCATCGGTTACAGAAGAATGTCTAAACTTCTGAAGGTTCCAGTGAGCACTGTTGGGGCCATAATTCAGAAGTGGAAAGAACATCATTTCACCATAAACCGACCACGACCAGGTGCTCCTCACAAGATTTCTGACAGAGGAGTGAAAAGAATTATCAGAAGAGTTGTCCAAGAGCCAAGGACCACTTGTGGAGAGCTTCAGAAACACCTGGAATTAGCAGGTACGATTGTTTCAAAGAAAACAATAAGTAATGCACTGAACCACCATGGCCTGTATGCACGCTCACCACGCAAGACTCCACTGCTGAAGAAACAGCWTGTTGAAGCTCCTTTAAAGTTTGCTGCACAACATTTAAACAAGCCTGTGTAATACTGGGAGAATATAGTCTGGTCAGATGAGACCAACATTGAACTGTTTGGATCCCAGAATACACATCATGTTTGGAGGTCAAATGGCACTGCACATCAGCCCAAAAACACCAHACCAACAGTGAAGTTTGGAGGTGGGAACATCATGGTGTGGGGCTGTTTTTCAGCATATGGTACTGGCAAACTTCAAATAAGTGAAGGAAGGATGAATGGAAAAATATACAGAGACATTCTTGATAAAAATCTGCTTCCATCTACCAGGATGATGAAGATGAAACGTGGCTGGACATTTCAGCAAGACAATGAGCCCAAACACAAAGCCAAGGAAACTCTCAGTTGGTTTCAGAGAAAGAAACTAAAGCTGCTGGAATGGCCCAGCCAATCACCTGACCTGAATCCAACAGAAAATCTATGGAAAGAACTAAAGATCAGAGTTCATAGAAGAGGTCCACGAAACCTTCAAGATTTGAAGACTGTTTGTGTGGAAGAATGGGCCAAAATCACACCTGAGCAATGCATGCCACTAGTTTCTCCATACAGGAGGCGTCTTGAAGCTGTCATTGACAACAAAGGCTTTTGTACAAAGTATTAGATAAATTTCGGTAAGTGTGTTCAATACTTTTTCCCTGTGCCATTCCACATTATTACAAATAACTTCATTTCTGGACATTTATGGTTTGATWTCTTTGTATGTATGGATCACTTGGGTTGTTACCAACATCTGGTGAAAATTTCATGTCATTAGCACCTCTAGTAATATATTTACTGAGRAAAATGGTGACTTGTTCAATACTTATTTTACCCACTGTATATGTTGCATATGCAGAGAAGAAAGACGCAAAAGAATCATGTTCTTTACTCAATATGTAACGTTCTAATTTTTCAGTTAGAGAGTTTGGATGAACAAAAGAACCTTTCAGAGCTTCACTCTCAGGCAAGCAATCACATTTAATACTGAAATCTGTTTCTTTTCACGAGATTTTGGATGATTTGGTTTATTTTAAACATCCAAACTCACGTTTTAACATTTGAAGTTAAATAAGATTTGTAATGTTCTGACCTCTGCGTCTCTGGTGAAAAACAACTCAATCAGGTTGTTTTTGGCAGTCGGATGGCCGGTCCATTTCCACCAAACCCCCCCAGAGGGAGCAGAGAGAGCTCAGACAAAAGAGTCAGGAATGCATGACTCAGAACACATCCACACATGAAAAAAAAAAAATGTTGGCGTCTGATAGGAGAAGCAGGCGCTGCCAAAGTTTTCTATCCACCACAATTAGCTCCATCCTCAGACTCTCATCCCAAACGCAGCGGCAGTGGCGAGCCAAATCCTCGTTTTTGTGTCAAAGGACCTCTTGTGTCCCTTTTATTCTCCAGTGCTGACATGACTTTTGGCTTTGCAACTCATTGCTTTGTCCTGTTGTGGGCAAAAAACCAGGAATACACATAAACTGAGGGCCAAGTCACACCAATCGAACCCAGTTTCTGTTTTAGAAAAAAGGATCCGTAATGAGGTTAATTAGGAAGAGAGGATGACAGATGCCTGTTAGAGTCATTCCAGGAGAATCAGGCTCAGTTTGGAAACTGACAGAAACACTGAGCAGACCCTCTATGATGCAAAACCTTATGAATGGGACCGATTTTCCAAAGAAAACTGAAGAGAACTCTCCAGTTTGTTTTTGAAATGCTCGCTGTTTTATTCTGTTTCACCTCAATCTGACCTTTTTCAGGTTTTTAAAGATCAGCTTTGTGTTTGAACACGAATGAGCAGCTTTATCATCACTTAATAAAAACTTTGATGGTTTCTGTTTGTTCAGGATCTTTTTCCCCCCACTTTTCCACCATTGCGCATCTGACCCGTGACTCTAGTTTCCTGTCTTCCACTGCCCTCTCCTGGTCACTGTCCTCAGGTTAGACATCGGGTCTTCACTCTGCAGCCTGAGCTAATTTAGTTATTGAGCTAAAATTTGGTGTGGTCGTGTCTGAGCATTGATCATGATATATTACCTTAAGTCTGCCAAATATCTGATGAATCTCTGGATCTATTTCAGTAAAACTCTCAGAAGATAACCACTGGGTGAGTCGACTCAGTTCAAGATGGCCGCCACAGCTAACTCAGCTTAGCCAAAGCAGGGTGAGTTTTATACTTAATGAGTGGAAAGGTAGCAGCTGACATTCATTCACAACACAGCTGACAAATCATGTGATATAAAACAGCATAAATTGTAATTTTATGTTAACTTTGACTCAAACAACCCTAAATTTGTCATTATTTGAACTCTGGGTGGTGCAATCTTAAGGAAGGCTTAATTTCAATCTCATAATTCATGCTCCTGTACGCAAAACTTATTTCAAACTTCAGCTTCCTTTTTGTTSAGTTTTGATTACAAAAAAGGACACTTTTAATTTAACTCCTGTGTAATTTGTGTTTCACTCCCCCCTCTCATCCCTCCGTCTATCATCCCTCCTGTCCACAACTTCTTATCTCCTCTTCAGATATTTGGTCTGACAGTCGGGCCACCGGGCTCAGGAGCCCACGGTGCCAAAGCCATCATGTCACACAGCGTGTGTCCACCTGAGCGACCGGGGCCGCAGTAATCACTGATGTGGTCCGAGGAAGTGCTGGGTGGCAGGTCTGGGGGATTCTGGGTCAGGCCTGGGAGGTCTGATGAAGATAAGGTGGGACACCAACTCTGGGCATCTTCCCCACTCGCTGGTCATTTCACCGCTGTGCCTGACCGTGTGTGTGTGTGTGTGTGTGTGTGTGTGTGTGTGTGTGTGTGTGTGTGTGTGTGTGTGTGTGT